ATGAATCGTTTCTACATATAAATTGCCTGGAATTATTGGTAGCTTCGTTTGCCATTCGCAGTCTCTCGTCCAAGAACATTTCTTGTTCAGTCCTTCTCAAACTAGACAATGTTTCCGCCGTCTGCTACATAAATCACCTAGGTGGAACCAGATCACGGGTGTTAGCTTGAGACTTCTGGCATTACTGTCTATGACACAATATATCTGTGACTGCGGAACACATCCCGAATTTAGAGAATTACACGGTTGACTGGAACTCCCATTATCTGAAAGACAGGGGGGATTGGTAGCTTCAACCATCCATATTCAGGAAAACTGGCAACCTCCAGGGACCCCTGCACGTGGATTTCTTCGTATCCCGACTGAATACCCAGCTGCTTCAGTTCTTCAGGTGGAGGCCAGATCCGGAAGCCTTGGCAACGGATGCATTCCTTCAAGATTGGTCCAAGAACCGGTCATATGCCTTCCCCCCGTTCGATCTGATTGCTCAGACTCTATCATACCTACATCATGGCAAAGGCACTGTGGTCCTGATAACTCCGATCTGGAGGTTGCAACCCTGGTTCCCACAGCTCATGGAAATAGCGATAGACTACCCACGATTACTGCCGGACAAACCTTTTCTCCTGACCAACCCAGACGGGACTTCTACGTCTACTGGCTTGGCTAATTTCCAGGAACACTGGGCAATAGGAGATGTTTCGCACACAACTGACCAGCTCGTGGCAAACGCTTGGGCACCAGGAACTCAAGGTTCCTATCACGCAGCATGGAACAGGTAGTCTGATTGGTGCTTGGAATGGTTGTTGGATCCTGTATCAGCTCCTCTGAAGATGGTGTTGAGCTTCCTTACACACCTTTATGAATCGGGCAAGGCCTTTCGCACAGTCAACCTTTACAGATCAGCTATATCTGCTGGAAAGTTTAGATGGTGTCCCAATTTAGAGAAACGCGATGGTCTGTCGCCTACTCAAAGGTATTAGTTCTTCACAACTCCTAAAAACCGAGGAATGGGTCATTTTGGGACGTGAATGTGGTTTCCAACCTAATGGACTCCTGGCATCAAATCACCGAGTTATCCCTGAACAGCTATCGGCCAAATTACTCATGCTGATTTGTTTGCTGTCCTGCAAATGGGTATCTGACGTCAGAGCGTTGGATTGGCTCGCCAGGGTCTTCACCCTGAAAGAGTATCCTTCAATATTTCACAGGGGATGAAGTCTTTGACTAAAAAACATCTTCTACCCTAGATTTCCAAAACACCCTAATCTGGGCCCAATTTTTGTCTGAAGGAATACGAACTACGCACTATTTCATTGCGCCCATCACAAGACGGCCTTTTATTCATCTCGTTTAAAAGACCTCATCTACCAGTGTCTACACCTACCTTGGCTCGCTGGGCTAAATGGCTGTTACCCTCGGCTGGTATTGATACCATAATTTTCTCTTCTCATTCAGTCAGAGGCGCGATGGCTTTGAAAGCTTCAACAGTTGGTTGCAGACTGATATATCACAGGCTGGATGCTGATTGGTTGCACAGTTACTATGCAATGTTATGTTTATTCATTTTCTCTTTTGTATACATCTCTCTTTGCTGCTGAGGGAAATTAAAGGAAAGAGAAAGCATAATACTCGCCTACGTGTCATTAATAAAATCATGACTTGGAGCTTGACTGCCGAGACAAGCGGTCGCACAGACAGAGAGCTCAGTGAGAAAAACGCGAAAAACCCAGGCTGAGCACCCCCAAACCACAGCAAAGACACACTACACACTCCTGTGTGACATGAGGCAAAAAAATAATAAATTCGCCCAGGGACTTACAATTGGTGACAGGTGGAGACAGGCACGCGAGGCAAACGAGACCAACATGGCAGCGCTCCATGGCGGCTGCTCCAACTTTTCCGATGACCTCTCCAGAAAGGAGTATCTGCCAGCCCCCAAGCTGGGAAAGCCGACACAGCTGACTAACACTAACCGCTCCAGTGACTATATCGGTCCTCACACGGCTACTTGCAGATCATCATAAAGATTTGCATAACGATATTACTGCACTAAGTGGTGACCTGAAGGGACTGACAACTCGTTTAAACACACTGTAATGCACAACAGAAACCACTACCTGAGACATTTGGGAACTGTGCAAGATCTCCAACGGCAACAAAAGCTACATGAACACCGCGAGGCGGAGCAAGAAGATGCCGGGAGACGGGATTATTTGAAAGTCAGAGGGATCTCTGAAACGATCCCCAACACAGAACTACCACAGGTTGTCAAGCGCCTCCTTGCAGCTATATTGCCACCCACATAGGCTAACAAGATTGTCCTCGCCAACATATTCAGGATCCTAAAACCGCCAAGGGCGCCAACCGAAGCCACGCAAGACATTATACTTACCTTCCAAACCAGAAGGGACAAAACAGCAGTCCAAGCCGCCCTGAGGGGAAAGACACCGTACCAATTTGATGGGATGGCAGTGAGCTTCTTTGCCGACCTCTCGAGAGACACACTGGCTTGGCGGCGATCCCTCCAGCCACTTACCACGCTTCTCTGCCAACGAGACCTTAAATACCGATGGCAGATGACCCACATACTCACCGTGCAGAAGGGGCCAGACTCCCACCAAATCAGGGAACTGACCGACGAAGCCCCGCTCTTACAGGCACTGGGCCTACCACCGGGCTCCCTCATTCAGGCAGGCCAGAAGAGAGCAACTCCCCAACAATTCTCGTGGGACCCAGAGAGATCCATCCCATTCATGCCGACATGCCAAACCCGTACGTGGCACTCACTACTTGAACGAATACACGGTCTAGTAAAGAGATGAACTGCTGACCTGATAAGCTGCTTGCCAAAGCAAAAATGCCTTCATGTGAGGGACATTGAAACTAGAGACTTTGGTGTCAGAGACTTTGACAGGTATCTCTGCACCCGAAAGAGACTCAACCCATGCACCAAACCCCCACTCCCTCAGCATATATATTTCAGCCGACATACACACCTAGCCACGGCCTCCATCCCTCCCAGCACAGGGACACACGATCCCACACACACACACAACACCCCAAGCTATATATTCACTCTCTTTTACCCAGCGAAGAATACATAGCACTCACGGCACAGATTAGACCCACCATATTAAACACATAACACGGTGCAATCAGATGTGAAGATGAGTGTGAATAAACCAGATGTGCCATGCAATGCCTTAACCTGACTGTTAACCTTAGGGTGGCTACTGGGTAAAGCCCAAGTCCCCAGCAGCTTCCAGTTGTTTCTGCAAATGTGTGATGTAACCCTGCTCACTTATCTATTTTTTTAATTTTTTTATTTAAGAATGTGAAAGTAGCCACTGTAGCCGTGAAATACTGAGATGTCATGGTCATACAGAGTAGTGCTTGCGTACATATTTGCAGCCTCTGGTTTTACCCCTTCCTATCAAATTCGTGATCATGATTATAAGCAGGTTCCTTTTCCCTACCCAAAAATGCAGCATTCTCTAGACAGGAGCCATTACTCTAAAAAAAACACAAAAAACCTTACTTTCCCGCCTTACTCACCAAAGACACACAACACCGCTTCGCCACAGCAAAGTTACCCACTTCACCTACATTACACGTTACCCAACCACAGCAGTTTGAATAACTATTGTCTCCTATACAACATGATTGCTAAGCTTATGTTTAACTATTACTATGCTTAATTATTCTAGCATGTTACACTATATAAGCAATGTTTTATTAGCCTGTTATTTTCATGTTCAAAAACAAAAAATGTGCAATTGTGTAATGTCACGACCATATCTGCATGAACCTGCCTGTGCCTGCCGTTGTGGTTCCACAGGCCCACCTGTAAATCTTTTGCACCTAAAAATAAAGAATTTAAAAAAATCATGACTTTATGTCATGTTAATAATAAAATCTGGGAATCCCATTTTGCGTGATGGAATGGGTACCTGGCAAAGAAATGTGCTCCTCTATAGGCTGATAACTATGCATGGAATATTAGTGAAGTGTTGCTTTATGAACTGAATTTGTGTTGCAAATCACATGGAAGAAAATCCCCCCCAAAACATCGTTTGGTAGTGAAAGTATTGGGAGCATTTTGCGTCACTGATTCTGGAATGCCTATGAAGAGTAGATCATTCCTAGAGCTTATGTTCTCCAGGTCATCTAATGTCGTGGTGAGGCATTCTATTGCTGTTGTGTCACCATACATTGCTGTAGATAAATAATCATCCTGGCCAAAAAAAAAAAAGCCTTTGTTTAAGGTGTGTGGAGTGTGCAGTGATGTGAGACCTGACTTTGTCAATGAATGTTTTATATAATCAACTTAGGTGTTTGTTCAACATTTGCTATAAATCTGCCAACATTTTTTAGGAAAAATGGAGGAGGTAAACTTAGATTAGTTTCTGTTGGTATGCTGCATCTGCTCCCAGTGGTTCTTCCAACTAAGGCCTTTTTATACACTTTTTCGAAATGATACTAAACGAACATGATTTTTAATTGTGTCCATTAAAAATCTATACACGACTAGTTCAGGTAAATGAAAATATAACAAAATTATGTCTTCAGCTTCCCCAAGATTAACTTGTAAATGCAATCAAGATTGCAAAGGGAGCCACGTGTCATGAAAATACCAACTGGCCAATTTATTGTGGTAATAATGAGATTAATCCAACATTAATATTATTTCAGGTATTTGACAGGTTGGTGACTCTATACCCTAGTATGTGGTAGTGAGAAATTCTGGGCACAGATATAATACTTAAAGGTATTGTAACCTTTTTGCCAACCCAGAAACATTACACCCAGTAAGCCATAGAATCTTGAGGAAATTTGTACGAAAACACAAAAAGATCTAATTTTACTAGATAATATTCTGGATTCGTAGCACCTATAGATAGTTTAGCTAAAAAAAATATTTTTCCCAAAAAAAACACTTTGCTGACCAAAATTGTAACAACTAAATAAAATAAGTTTGCTGCACAAGAAGACAAAACCAATGAATAAGTTAGTTTATTATCCAAATTAAAAAACATTAATGCAAGTCAGTGGTGAAAATAAAAATAGCTGGGTGTTCCATACAGTTCTTAAATACACATTGTATTCTCAAGGCCTAATACAAAACACACGGCTTATCAATAACACTGCAGGGCTTAAATCATTGGAGATGTATAAAAGATTCAACTTTTGGATATAAAACCACAAAAAGATTACATGTGCAACATGTCAAATCAATAGATAACAAACATAAAAGATTTTGTTAAAATACTGACAGATCGGTGTTTGTGAAAAGAGGTGCATTTTACTACAAAACTACAGAGAAAGACACCTAAAGGTTTATTTAACAGTGAATTGTGGTTAATCGAAAACACAGTTTACATTTTACGTTTAAATAGCCAAGCTGCGATTATAGCAGTGTTGACTTTTTCAAACCAGCTATTTTTGCAGTTTAGTTTTAAATTTACGACAATTGCGGTTTGGTGAATTGACCATAAAATCCGTTATTAAGGTGTCCTTTGATCTTAATTTGAGATAAATGGTAATTATAAATGTACTTTTACTCCATAATTATGAATGGACACAACTAAATAATAGCTATTAGAAAAAAGCCATTATATATCACAATGCTGTGCAATGGGCAAACCAAATGTAGGGATATATTTTGAGAGGTTTAATCATATGAAAAGAAAGGGAACTTGGGCTTCGCTTAAAACGCGATTCATGTGTAATAACATCCCTTAAGCCCTTCAATAGCAGAATAGAGTATAAAAATTTTCTTTTCATGTATTTTTCAATAGAAAATCTAGGCCATAAAGCCTCAGTCACACTCTTTTATACTCTAGTTATAATTATCACCCTGTAGAGAAACAAATTTCCAGAAATCACTAATATAATGAATGTAAACTAATAAAAATGTCCGCTCACTCCCTGCATTCAAATGGTACAGGAACTTTCTCTGGGTGATACCATTCTTACAGCCAGGAAGGAGGTGTGAATGGACTCTACCATTTCACGGTCAGCATTACATTAGCATTCCAGAGAATGACAAATATTGATATAGAATTTTTAAATACCTTTATTTCACAGATATATAAGTGGGAGTTAAGTTCAAAGGCAGACATTCTTTTTACATTATGTTGCAATTTTTAGAAAACTGGACTACTGGTTACACCTTGCAAATACCTAAGAGCAAGGGCTTTGACCATTTTGATTTGTAAATTTTTGTTACACCTACTGTATGTGAGAACAAATTGCAGTTTTGCTTTGGTACTAACGTTTCAGACTCTGTGATAAATATTGCAAGATAAATGACATAGTACCATCTGTAAAGCTTTACATTTCCCAAATATTTTTTATAAAGTTTGAATGAATAAGTGAAATTTATAAATCGTGTAAATGCACAGATTTTTCAATTTTAAAACATTTATCTGTAAAACAATCTATGCACCAAATTGCTGTGTTGTGTTATGATACGTTTATAGGCTAGCTATGAATCCATTGCTTCAAATAAATTTTATGCTATTTTTTCAATCAAAAAATGCTCGGTAGTAAAGGGGCTAAAAAGACATTGTGGGCACTCCTGAGTATTCATCTTGAAACAAAGATTTGATCGTGCTGCTAAATGGCAGCATATATTAGCCAACCTATAAGATGGTTTAGTTTTCTTAAAGCATCACTATAGGGTCAGGAACACAAACATGTATTCCTGACCCTATAGTGTTAAAACCACCATCTAGCCCCCCTGGCCCCCTCAAGCCTCCATAAATATAGTAAAAATCTTACTGTATTCAAGCCTGAAGCTGTAGATCTGCATGCTGTTAGACTAAAAAAAACAGCAGTCTGCTGACATCATCAGAAGTGGTAGCCTGATCCAATCAAAATGCTTCCCCATAGGATTGGCTGAGACTGACAAGGAGGCAGATCAGGGGCAGAGACAGCATGATTCAAACACAGCCCTGGCCAATCAGCATCTCCTCATAGAGATGAATTGAATCAATGAATCTCTATGAGGAAAGTTCAGTGTCTGCATGCAGAGGGAGAAGATTCTGAATGTTTGGATGTATTTTAGGCAGGCATGACCCAGGAAGGATCTCTAACAGCCATCTGAGGAGTGGCCAGTGAAGTTATCACTAAGGTGTAATGTAAACACTGCATTTTCTCTGAAAAGACAGTGTTTAGAGCAAAAAGCCTGAAGGTAATGATTCTACTCACCAGAACAAATTCAATAAGCTGTAGTTGTTCTAGTGACTATAGTGTCCCTTTAAATAACTATTCTTTGCCAAAAAAAAAATAATCTAATTTTTAAAAAAATTAAAATTGTTGTGTGTCTTTTAACATCGTGCCATTCAATTTAATGCCATGACTTTGTTTTATACTATTTGTCTTTAAAATGCATGACGATACTGGGGTGGCATCGCAAGCTCGTTATTCTAGCCTATATCTCTATGTTTCCAAACAAAAACTTAAATTCTATGTGTATACTAATGTAATCTTTTATGTAATTATATGTATTTATCTATATATATATATATATATATATATATATATATTTATTTGCGGTTATTTGTATTTTATAGATAGATATTCATAGAATGCTATTCTAAGTGTACTTTGCTACCAATATATATATATATTAATAACAAAGTACTGTTAGAATGAAATTACATATGAATATATAATTTATATTAAATTTTTTCAATATTTATTTATTTTATTTATTATTGTAATTATACGTATATATATATAATATATGTATATATATTATATATATATATATATATATAATATATATACATATATATATATGTAACGTCATTCTAAGGTGTCATTCTAAGTGTATTTTAATACTAATATATGTACTTATATTAATATTAAAATACATTACGTATGACGTTACATATATATATATGTATATATTATATATACATATATTATATATATATTTATTTTATTTTAAAACATGTCAAATATTTTTTTTTTAAACTTTCCCACCAGCAGGGGGACTATCTGACATTTCAGACAGTCCCCCTGCTGGCAGATACACAGCCAGCTATAGGGGGCCATGTGATCGCTCTTTGAGAGCGATCACATAGCCCCCGGGGGCTTCTTTTGCCGTGGGAGGGCTGCCTGGGCTGTGAGGCAGTCCACCCGAAGCGGAGCGCGGGGTAGGTAAGTATCCTGGGTGCTCCAGGGCTCAAAGCCGTTACAGCGTTCTATGCCGCTGCAACGGCTTTAAAGCCCAATTAAAGCGGGACGGCATAGAACGCCGTAACGGCGTTAAGGGGTTAAAATAACAGTTTATTATTAGGAGCTGTTAAAAAAATCGACCAGGAAACAATTTAGTCCACTTCTTGAATTCAGTAGTTTAAAGGGACAGTTTAGGTATCATAAGGGACCATAACAACTCCACCTGAATGAAGTTGTTTTGGTGCCAGGAGCCCCCGGGCCCATTCTTACCTCCAGCGCTGATCTCAGCTCTCCCCTGGTGGCATCTGGCTTCTGAAATTTAAGATTCAGGAATCGTTGAATGCCGCCGGACAATGGCATATCTTTTTAAGCCAGATTTGTGACTGGGGAGTTACTGATTGGCTGAGAGCGTCAGCTGACAGCCAATCGGAGACCGGCACTGGAGGCAACATTGGGATAAACCATTTGAAAATGGTTTAATCCCTATAGGTCAGAAGGTGCCCAGCAAATATGCACAAAATTGTCTGCCCATTAAAGGATGACTACATAGAAACAGAACACACGACATATAGGGATTTATTAACTAAATATTGATCTGTGCAAATTATTAAATACCCATATAAAATACCCATTTTATATCCTACAACAAATTATTTTAACAAACTATTTATATAATAACATTTAATTCGCTTGGGTAAAAGCAGTTTTCTTCTCGTATCGGGAAGAAAAGTTTTACATACACAGGGTTATTTACTAATGTGAGAATTCACAGTAAATTCAAAATTCTTAGGGGCACTATAGCCACCAAAACAACTACAGCTTAATGTAGTTGTTCTGGTGAGTAGAGTCAGTCCCTATAGGCTTTTTGCAGTTAACATTGTCTTTTCAGAGAAAAGGCAGAGCTTACATTACAGCCTAGGTATGCCTACACTGGCCGCTACTCAGACGGCCACTAGAGGTGCTTCCTGTGGCAGTGCTGCAGAGTGTGCAGCACTGACGTTCAGTGTCTGCATGGAGACACTGAACTTTCACTCATAGAGATGCATTAACTAAATGCATCACTGTGAGAAGATGTTGATTGGCCAGGGTGATGTTTGGCTCTGCGCTCTCCCACCTCCTCCTGAATTCTCAATTTAGTGAATAACTTTGATGGTGAAGAGTATAACACTGGGGTTTATGGAGGATTTTGCAAGACCCTCAATAGACCAACTTTTGTGATCTGCCAGAGTATGCACTATTCCCAAAGCCATTGCTAGCAATGGCATAGAAAACCTCAAAGCAGAAACTCTCCATTTTGTCATGTCAATGATCCATTTTGCACCATTTCCAAGCAACAAAGTATTTGAGAACACCACTCTTCTGCTAATTGTAGCTAATGCAGTTATGATGACTACAAAGATATGCTATTGGCTCTTTCAGTAGTACACCAAATAGCCCAGGCGACAATGTTATACACATACATCTATTAGTATTGCTTTCCAAACAAACTGAGAACAAGGATTGATTGATGAACAATGCAGTAGACACAAAACACCAGCACAGTTAGTAAAATTATCTGAAAATATTACACTGATTTATTAATGCATTCCAAATATCACATTAAACACTATATCTTTCAGCAATCATTACTCTTTTACAAATTTCAACGTACCCTGCTTTGGACAGCATGTCGACAATGATTAAAGGGATTGCTAGAAAAATAAAACTTCAGTCCCACGCATTTTAGCATTTCTTACGTTCCACGTTTATAAAAAAAATTGTTAATAAAGGGATTCACAACATGAACCCCCTGAAAGCAATGCAGCTTCATTTATTTCTGGTTGCTTACATTTTTGTAGAATTCTGGATGTCTTTATTCTCTGGCTGTTGTCAACATAAAATTAAGTTGACCAATGAACAGGGTCTGGATCCTAAAATCAATTGTATCAATCCACGGTTTTATGTCTTTCACACATTACTTTTATATAACAATAATAATACAAAAGAACATGGAAGTGCTGTTAAAATATTCAACTTTAAACATCTCCTCTCAAAGTGGCAAAACTAGTCAGAAATCAACGCCACTGAATAATTATGCACTAAGTGCTCCTCAATTAAATTTTATTGTTACAAATGGAAAGCTGTGCATTTTATAAATATGTGATTCAGCTAGACCTGATGTGTGTGTGTGCTTCTAAGCATTCTTTATTGTACAATCATTAGACGTTTGTCTCAATATACAAGTCTCACAGTTATTAATATGAATATCAGCTTATTAATATTGAATAAAATTCTCTTTACATAATAGCCATTTAGACAGAAGCACTAGGTGCTGAAAAGAAATATAAATATATATATATATATATATATATATATATATATATATTTATTTTCTTTTGCAAAATTTTGTATCTACAGAACTATAACTTACACAATTCACAAATGTTTCATAAAATACTGAATTTGAAATGATCATAGAAAAAAAGTACCCATGCACTTCGAAATTATTCAATTGTTACAGTATCTCCATGTAATGTAGAGTACTGTGTTTAAACTTGATCGATAACACTCTTGCTTGTTAGCACTGATAAAGATAAGCCCTTGAGAAAGAGATATTTTGCTATGAAGAATGCACCCCAAAATGTTCCGATAGTCAGTAAATTGATTGGATCATCTCATATTCCGTCTTACAACTATTGTGCCTGCAACAATGTCATAGGCCGTTCGGTTATGTTGGAAGAACAATAACGTGATAAAAGCAGGGAAGAAGAAAGCTATGGAGAAGTTCTTGATCACAGCCCGTATCGTTGATCTGGACAAAGAAGATTACATTTTAACAGAGTTAAAATATTTATGAAGTCAAATTCATCATCATCATCATCATCATCAATTTTACTTATAAATATATTCTGCAGAGTTTCTGAACTAAACTAAAACCTAATTAACAGTGAATCACATCCTTGTTGGTCCATTAAACATTTTCCAAAGGGGGAAAAAATAAGAAAGGTTGGCTATATGCTCTAGGTTAGAATCAAGTGAAGGATAATGGTTTGTCATTTCTTCAGGATCCTGTAAGCAAGGCACAAATTCAGACCAACAAATACACAAGCACTACTGAATTAGTCATTGAACTAGTTTATTAAAACAGAGAGACTGCATCTCTAGCTCAATAGCACCAACACAATAAACTATAATGATTATGATGCTTAGAGCATTCATTTAAAGGGTCACTTCAAGCACCATAACTACTACAGCCTGATATGGTGTTATGGTGCCAAGGGTACCTTGTGTCATCCACAGTAACATATCAAACCATTTTATGATAGTTGGACAACTTATCTGATCGCGTTGGGACACTGTGCTGCTCAGTTGCAAAGCCTTCTCCAGCAGGAGATTCCAGATATCACTGCTTAGAGCAAAGCAGAAGTGCAGTCATTGACTGACAGTGACAGCTGAGCACTCTCAGACAATGAGCATGGTCCTGAATTGAATGCTTCTCTTAATCCATAGAGACATCCAGCTTCTCTTGCTGGACAAGACCAAATGCAGCAGAGCACTCCACTGGCAGCACCCAGTTAAATTGTCAAACAGTGCAAAAACAGTTTGAGGTCCCAACTGGAGATGGCAAAGTACTCCTGGTACCATAATTCCAGCAGACTGTAGTTGTTATGGTACTTGGAGTGTTCATTTAAATACAGAACAAAATACACCAAATCCAATGCCACAGGATTTTTCATTAACTGCAATGTAACAATTTTTTTGATGATATTCTCACATTTTAGACCAACATAGACAAAATCGATAAATAACATTTCTCCAACTCAACTGTATTATCAGTTTAGCTATTTTGGTCTAAAAGTTGCATTCATTTTAGATTCCTTACACTTTAACGAATAACCCTGACAGATACCATTGGTTAGATCTCTGAAACACTTGGTGAGTAGTATGGGAACAAGAAAATGTACTCCAGAATTAAAGAAATTAAGATTATGCATTTAAAAAAAAAAAAAAGTTTAATAACATGATACAAAAATAAAAATAAAATACAGATGCGTCTTTCCCATTCTGTTAAGCATGCATTAGGTACTAGAAGGCATTCATAAACATTAAAAGTTTTTTTTTTTTTTCCTTTCACCAAAGTGAGAATTGCCACTGTTTCAAAGCGATTTTAAATTTAAGGCCAATATAGCTAAACTGAAAACAGAATTGACTTGAAGAATTTTTCTAATTCTGGAAGAGAAAGCGTCACATCGAGTGAATGTCAGGAAGACAGTCACTAGATGTGGATTTAGCCCTTCAATGTAAACAGTATAGTTTCTATAAAAATAAATAAACTGCAATGTTTTA